TTGATCCCGAAACTACTAGCAAATAGAACTATTGTCGGTACAATGTCTCCGTACGTTCATGAGATGGGCGTGTCAGGCACCGCACTCGTGGTAGCTAAATGTTCATGATTACTGTCTTGTGGATCACTGTCTATCACTGTATTACTGCCACTATCAACTTCATCTAATTCAGGAATCATTATTTCATCGCCACTATCATCATCAGCACAAATCTCCTTCACAACACTTTCTAGCTTGTCCATTTGTTTGGACTTGTGAAATGAAGTGTATGTATGTATGTAGGAACACGCCGACACTTACTGCGAGAAGCAATGGTGAAACTGAATGAATGTTAAATATTATCTGACCTTTTCCTTCTCAGAGGGTTCTGACAGTAATATAGACCCCCACAAAGTTTACAAGGGTTCTTTACAAACATGCACAAAAACTATCATATATATGTCTTTGGTTGATGAGTGCCAAGAGAGCAAAGAAGGGAAGAGATTGTCAAAGCGTTAAAACACGCCAACACCAGGGAACGGCTGGCATCGTCCGGGTGTTAAAACACGCCCGCGCCAGTCAAAGAGTAAAATGCCATGTACTTAAGATTAATGTTGAGAACGTTATAATTTAGAATGTAAGAAGCCAACAAAGCCTAGTATTGGGGAAGGTGTTAGTTAGGCAATACTGAGTAAGTTTCTTTCAAGATACTTCAGGACATTTATGATGAGTGTTTTATGCTTATACCATGCAGCATAAAAAGTACCAAGTATTGTTTACTGCATATAAGGAATTATAAAATTAATGAACATTCAAGAACGAAACACTTTTTGATATATTCACAGCTTATTGTTCAGTTTCCAAGTGTTAAGAATGAACTAGCATGTAAGTTCCTTTGTTTAAAGCAAGAAAACAATGCAGTTTTGTTATCATAGTTTACAGATATGCCTCGACATCATGGTGAGAAGCCCAGATGTGAATCAGGTAGTTCTTCAAAATATGATCATTCAAAGGACAAACGTAACCATGACAGAATCAAGTCAGACAGTAATATGGACAAACATTCAAAACACCATAAAAGGAGCAGATATGAATCTGACTCTAATTCAGATGACAGTACTGAGAAACAGAGGCTTAGAGATTTACAGGAAAGAGATGAATTTGCTGATCGTCTTAAAAAGAAAGATAAAGAGAAGATACGAAATGTTGCTCAGCCATCAGGCCCTGGTGAGTAGGTTCCCATTTTTCAAATTAATCACAAGGCTATAAAGCATATCAACCGAACTACACAGGTTTTAAAATGTGGGTGACTCATGACATTTCAGAGAAACGAGCTTATGAAGAGGCAGCCAAACGACTGAAACAGGAAGCAGAGGGTCGTTCTAAAATCATTCCAAAGCTGCGAGTAGAATCAAGACGAAAATACTTGGAGAAGAGGAAGGAGGATAAGGTAGCAGAATTGGAGGCAGATATCATTGATGATGAATATCTGTTTCAGGAGGAAGAGTAAGTGAATCTGTTTAAATGCTGTAGAGTTTCGTATAAGAATTTGGTGAAAGTTCCCCAATTCTTAGTATTCCTATCTCACTTTTTAATCTAGGCTAACTGAACGGGAGCGTAAGGAACGCGAACACAAGAAGAAATTACTTCAGTTGGCAAAGGAACATGAGCAAGCACGTGAACTTGAGAAAGTTCAACGTTATCATATGCCAGAAGACCTCAAGAAGGTGCTGTATTCACATATTTATCATGTTAATGTATTTTGGTAACAAAAGTAAAGTCAATATAATTTGTGTGGTTTTCCCATGAGTGCCTTCGTTGTTCTTGTACTGCAGTGTAATTGGATAAAACTACAGAACGGCATTTATTCACTACAGCATCACATAATGTTTGTTCATAAATCTTACTAGATGATGACCAGCTGACATTGTTCAGCCCTTGACTGCAGAAGAATGTTTTCCAACATGTGAGACATTAAAAGTTTATGAACATTATATCAATTTTGAGGTGTGCTTTGCATAAGATGAGACTAGTAACAGTGGATCCATGGGTTACCAGTCCAGTGATGGATGTCGACAACATTTTTTGTAATGCTAGTGGGGTGGGACTAAGTCCCTTGTGCTGCGGCCACTTCTGGCCTATTGTACCAGCCCCAGATGATAGGTGAGGGTGATTGTGGAGCAATTTTTGGAATGATGATTGGCAGGGGAAACCGAAATACTCGGAGGAAACCTGCCTCAGCTCCACTTTGTCCACCACAAATCTCACTTGACCAGACCTGGGATGGAACCCGGGCCGCCACGGTGGGAAGCCAGCGACTAACCGCTTGAGCCATGGCGCGGCCCTGTTGACAACATTTGTAGCAGTTTAAATGCCTGATGATGACTGTATGGCCGAAACATGTAGTGAGTATCCTTAGTGAATAAATACTGGTTTCATTGATAACACTCATGTCTTTAGTTGTCTATTTATAAGTTGTATTGTAATAGACAGACTGATATACATAGTTATGGACATTGGTGTCATGTAATATGGCACATGTTTACAACATTTGAAGAATTCACATAATTCGCACTAACATAAAATATGCTATTTTTAGTAGTATTTATAGTTTTATCTTGTGTGCTGTGCAGAATGTGTACCATATTGTGTACCATTTAATATGGGGCACATGGTAGCAAAGTTGAGGCAAAATGCTAGAAGCCAGAAGGTTGTGGATTCGATTCCCAATAGGGCATTGGATTTTTCAGTTGACCAAATCCTGCCAGCTGCACTGTGGCACTGGAGCCGACTCAGCCTCTAGCAGAAATGAATACCAGGAATCTTCCTGGGGGTAAAGATGCAACTGGCGCGTAAGGCTGACAAGCTCACCGCCATCTCTGAGCCAATTGTCTAGAAAATGTGGAAGCCTTGATGTCTCACAACCCTATGGGCCTCCGTGGCCTGTTAGAGGGATACCTTTTATCTTTTTTATACTCCTGAATATTGTTGTAAAATTGAGAAATAACGTAAAAAATAATGGATTTGTATGCATACTGAACACTATTTTATTTATGCACCTTTATAATCTGGGAATGGGAGAGATTAAATCTGGATACTCTGGTAGTCAGTTTTTAACCCTTCAGTGTGGGCATTTAAATATCGCTGTTGTGGGGCCTCCTGCTGTAGTATTTTTTAGTTGCCCATTTAAATTTTGCTCTAAATTATATTATGTATCATAACTTTTGAACTATATGAGATATAATTATGAATTTTTCACTGAAATCATCTTAAAAGATGGTTTTATAATCTTACCTTATAATATGAGCACCCTATCTGAGCGATGGAAGCAAGTGGATTAGAAGTTGAGTTTCATATGGTATTTCTTGAAACATCCATCTAAACACAACCCTGCCTCACATTCACTACACCAATAAATAGATTCTTTCCTTTTACCATGTTTTGTGCACACCACACATCTTTTTTGAGGCTTTGCCTTTTTCTTTGGCTGGAATACACTCCAGGAAATGTCGTTCTGTGAGTCTTTTAGGCTGCAGTTCAACTGACGGATGACCCTGTACAGGATGAGGAAAACCAGAACCGTGTTTTCCACGAGGCCTTGTGCTAGTGAAAGTCTGAACTTTAGCGTGTCCATGTTTTTGTTATTCGGGAGACAATGATATATGACCATTGCTTTATGTATTGCTACATTGTGTAGCCTCTTGAATAACTTCTGATACCACTTAGTACTCTTATTTTGTTCAAGCAAGTACGTCTGTAGCATTTGATCCTTCAGATCCACTCCTACCGTGTTTCTGTTGTAATCACAAATAACCACAGGCTTTGTTTCTTGTTTGTTTGCTTTATTCACAACCACACGAATCTCATCTTTGTGATATGTTGATATCATAGTCACTTGGCCATCGTAACTGTGAGGTCACGCGTTCTATTTAGACTGACTAGCAGTGCTGCAGGATCTTGAATCTTATGGTTACACAAACAGAAAGTGTATTCTTTTCACAACAGCCCAGTGCAATCATCATCATGCTGGAATGTTTCGTTCCATATTTATGGGCCTTCGAAATTAGGCTTACAGCTTGGTGTATGGTGTACGGCAAACCGCAGGTAGGACCATTTAAATACCAGCGTACCATGAACAGGAAACCGCGCTGAAGGGTTAATTCATGAGTAGCAGGAATAGGGAATTTGAAATCCTCTAGTACAATTGAACTGGCAGTTGGATATTAATTTGGCATAATATCAATAATATTGTCATGTGTGTAGTGTATAACGCGACAAATAATTTCACGCCGTATTTGATATAGCGAATTTTATTTCACATTTGCTCTTACAATCACACAAATTACAATGTGACATTTACTGCCATCGGCAGTATCACAAATACTACACTGCAAATGCTGGTTGACTGCCTGGCTAACTCGGAACTAACTGTGAATAGTCTTCGCTGCTCCTTATGTAGCCTAGTTCTGGACAACACAGAAAACAGCCACGTAATAGGCTCCACTGTTGCTACCGTGTTTACCAGTGTTAACTGGTAACGCTGTCAGGAGTTGTCTCTCCCAACCACCGTTTACCTGCGTTGCATAGTGACCAGTGTGTTGGGACTCGGCTCGCTTCGGCTCCGCTCGGCTCACTTCGGCTCCGCTCGGCATGTCACCACCAGTGGGGTAGGGGAAGGAGTGTTGACTGCCTGTTACCCTAGTAACGACAGCGCTCCGATGGTGTTACCTCACCGCTGGCAGGGGGGGGGGAGGGGTGTCCTGCATAGCGCAACCCGTCACAATATTGAAAACATGCATTGTTTATTGTAGGATTTGAAGCTGTCACAGTGGTGGTCATGAAGAGTTCTGTCTTCTGGGATTTGATGCTGTACAGTCCATTGAATGTCAACCAACATTTTGCAAGGACATATCACCTCCATCTTCAGGGTTGACAACTAAGGCAGTGCTCTGCTTGCCACACTGATTTCTTGGCTTATTCTTTGACTCTGAAGATAGAGGCAACATGTTCTCTGAAACATCAGTTTTATGGGCTCTGTGGANGGATGCCGGGCTCCAAGCCAGACCAAGAGGTAAGATTTTATCTCTTCACTAATATGAAGATGATATCTTATCTGGCTTCTTTTGCTCTGAATGTTATTAATATGAGGAAATAAACCATACTTTCCAGCTTGTGGCAGTTTTAGCAAACTGTGGCTCTGAACTACTGACAGGTATGAATGAAATTTATGAACCGATGATGACAAATTGAGCACTTAAAGGATTGATGAGTTGTTATGTAATTGAAATGTGTGTCCAGCATACAGATAGCATTTCAGAAGGTCTCTGGTTTCTGATTAGAACATTCTACAAGTTCAATAAGAAAATAGAAATGACACTTCAGAGCATACACAGTATATTCCATATTTTTATATTCCATAGAAGGCAGGTGATTTCTTGAGCATCCAGTGGGTCATTAGCTTCTCAAGAATGATTATGATTCATGAAGTCTCTTATATATGTGTATATATAGCATTAAATATTGTTGAAAGTAACATATTAATGAAGTATGGACTGTGTGCTTTAAAACAGATCAGTTGTTACCACTCATAGCTTAGTGTTAGTGAGTCCATAGATTGTAGGTTATATAAAAATTGTGTTCCAGCTACAGTAGCTATATGGCAGTGAATGGGATTATCAGAGGATTGGGAAGGAAGTGGCAATGGATTATTTTGAGGTATTGCCCTGGCATTTGTTGCAATAGACAATTGAAGTAACTGCCCAGGTCAAGACTGCATCTTCTGATTCCTGTAACTTATTTTTGTTTTGGGTGGCAAATTTGACTTGGTTTCAAATGCATTTCCAGTGACATGGTGATATTGATGACTTTGGTGCTGTTCATGGTAATACTTCTGAATGTCCTTGACTTTCTTCATGTTGTACATGAAGTACAGTGTATGGCTGTACTTTATTCTGTTATAATGTACTATATTCTATGTACTATATTCTTTTCTGTGCAGGATTAAAATGAACCTAAACTGACAGAATCAGAAAAGAAGAAAGTCAGCCTGCAAGAAACCAGAAGAAGCTTACCCATCTTTCCTTTTAGAGATGATCTTATACAGGCAATTGAAAATCATCAGGTCAGTCATCCTTAAAGCTGTAAGGTAATACGGTACAGCATTTTGGAAAACAGCTGGAGAAGTTTATGTTCACTGGAATTGTTAATAATTCGGAAGGTTTAATTGAAAAATATGAAATGTTGAACTGTGTGGCTGACTTCAGCAACTCTGTGTATGAGATCTGTGAATTCCAGAGATGGATTAGCACGGTGAATTAAATGAGATTGGTTCAGATTACATAATTTTTATGCATGAATAAGAAAAAGCATGCTTCAAGGAAGAATGGTATAAAAGCTGTCGGCTACAATGGTGAAAGGTGGGTGATCTCTAAATTCAGAAATATTTGTTTTGGTGAAACTGGGGCAGGGGAATTTTCTATGGACATTAGAGGACACCATTTTGATAGTTAATGGTGGGGATGTTTTTGAAAGAATATTGTAATGCTTAGTCACAGATGACAAATGGAAAAAATGAGGACTCTTCAATGTGGTTACACATGTTTATATATATTACAAGCAGGACGGTTCTTCGCCAGGATATGGCTGCTTTCTGTGTCAGTATAACAAATGACTGAATGTATAAGGGGTGGGTCTTCTCAGCCCTTGCACCGCGACCTGCAATGTTCTATTTTGCTTCTTCAGTATAACAGTATACAGTAGCTAACATTTTAAAGATGGATTATCCTTCAAATTAAGAAATTAAATTTTACCCATGTAATTAAAAGATGAAAGCTATGCATCAGGATTCATATCCTATCCAAAAGCTCTACTAGAGTACTTGTGCCTTGATTTAAGGGCTGTGACCACTGTGTGTAAAGAGTACAGAAAGAGGCAGTTTCATAATATGTTGTTGGTGTTCTTTGAGGAAAGAGATGTAAACTGACAGGAATATGTTTGACTTCTGTTATAGGTTTTAATCATAGAAGGGGAGACAGGCTCTGGGAAAACAACTCAGATTCCACAGTATTTGTATGAAGCTGGGTTTACACGTGGTGGTAAGAAGATAGGCTGTACACAGCCACGTAGAGTGGCAGCCATGAGTGTATCAGCGCGTGTTGCGCAGGAGATGGGAGTTAAGCTTGGAAATGAGGTAAGACCTCACATACAAATCCGAAAGGCTTCCTTGTCTCAGTGTACTTTACTTTTAAAATAACAGAACTATGTGGTCTTTGTATTTTTTCAACTTTGTATCAAAGTTCTTGAGTTCACATTTTGATGAAGATTGTGGTACAAAAAGTTAGCTTTCTGTAAGTCCGCATGTTTCACTATAGTGAACTTGAATTCTGGTCAGCAGCAAGATATATATATGTGTAATTGAAGACAGTGAGCATGATAATTCAGTTGTAAAATTTCGGGATCATACTTGATGGATCAGTTGTACTATTAATGTTCTTAAGTGGTGACCATTGATTACTGAAGTAATAAGTGTAAATTAAATGAGGAATCACTGAGAGAAAGACTTGACAGTACTGACTAGTATTTTTATGATTTTTTGTCATAACCATTAGAAGCTCCAACACTTAATACTAAAAAACTTATAACTAGAGATATTCTTTGATTAGTTTTCATGTAAAGTTTGACCAGTAGGCAAGTCACTGGTTAGGCAAGTGCAATATGTAATTCTGGATTATGTCACTATGTAGTATTATATAAAAAAAGTAAAGCTATCCCTGTAACAGGCCGTGAAGGCCCATGAGGTTATGAGAGGTTGAGGCTCCCACATTATCTAGACAATCAGTTCAAAGATGGTGGCAAGGTTGTCAGCCTTATGCGCCAGCCGCACTTTACTCCCCAGGAAAATTATTTAATTCCTGGTGCTCATTTCTGTTAGAGGCCGAGTCAGCCCCAGGGCCATAGTGAGGCTGGAAGGATTAGGTCAATTGAAAAGAATGCAGTGACCTCATTGGGACTTGAATCTGTGACTTTCCAGCTTGTAGCATAGTGCCTCAACCTCATTCGCTACCACATGCCCAATATAGAATTATACGTGGAACCTGCTGCTTCCATCATCAGAGTACAAGTTTGTACTACTATGAAAATGGAGGCACCAGATTCCACCAAAATATTAATCATCACTTACAGTGTTAGACAGTGTCATAACCAAAGACCATAATCTATATTTGCACAGCCACGAAAGCCTTGTTACTGGAACATTTTGGTCTCAAGACATTTTTTAACACAGGTTGGCTATAGCATCAGATTTGAGGATTGCACTTCTGAGCGGACAGTTATCAAGTACATGACTGATGGAACACTACACAGGGAGTTTCTCTCAGAACCTGATCTGCAGTCATACAGGTATGTTGAAAGATGATGTGAAGTAACAGATACGTTCAAATTCTGTGCTGTTACAGTTCGAGTAATGAGAAATATCTACACTACTTTTGATGTTGAACAGTATGGTTATCTCTGTGGTTAGTTGCTGGCTTCTTGCTATGGAGGCCTGGATTCAATCCCGGGATATTCCACGTGGTATTTATGGTGGGCACAGTGGAACTAGGGAAGTTTTTTCTGCAAGCACTTCTTGTTTTCAGTTCCCGTTATCATTTCATCTGTGCTCCATACTCACCTGTCATTAGGGAATGGCTCACTGGGTCCATTTGAGGCACAGTCTGATGGCACTCTTGAAAATAATGGTTATTTCTAAAATGTACGTGTTTTAAGTTCGAGTGAAACCATGCAGATTATAGATGAAGCTGTTTTGTAAAGAGTTTTCATGAAGAATAACTTCACAATACAGGATCATGCACTAGAATTTTTTACTATTCACCCATATGATGCTTTATGTCACAAAACTTTAGCAAAATTGTATAAAATTAGAGGTTTTCATGGTAGTGAATATTAAGACTGTAGTCTCGTATGTAATGGCATGTAGTTTGGTGATAGATAACAGGTGTGTTGGAAAAATGTACTGCTTCCATCATCATGGTACTCTGTCTATCAAAGTACACAGTGTCAGGTATCAGAAGATGATGACACATTAATATGCTAACTCAGTCAGGCATGTTTGAGAAGGAAGGATAAACTATATTATTTTGTAAACGTTTGAGTGCCATTATAACATTTTATGCCTTGTCAGTAATAACAAGTTTTACCATACTGCAGCTCTTTTCCCAGTCCACTTGAAACACTAATGCATGGTGCTATCAGCCCAATATTTTCTAGGTATATTCATTTTAAGTAAGAATTTTATTGTGTTTCACTAAACTAGAAGGGGCAGGAGCCTTCCAATTTTACTAAAATAAAATGCCTGAATATGACCCGCTTGTTGTTTTAATTGTATATCTGAAGAGAGGCACATGGAGTTATGAATAGATATAGAAGGTGGAAGGGTACCTGTAAGTTTATTAGTTATTTGTTTATAAAATATGTGTTTCTTGCAGTGTAATGATCATCGATGAAGCTCATGAAAGAACTCTTCACACAGATATTTTATTTGGACTTGTTAAGGACATTACCAGGTTCAGACCTGATCTTAAGCTGCTCATCTCAAGTGCAACGCTGGATGCACAGAAATTCTCAGATTTCTTTGATGAAGCACCTATCTTTAGAATACCAGGTATGAGAGACATTCTTTCATTTAATGTTCTGTACTTATCAGAATCAGAGATCATTTTTTTCTTATTTACCATCTAAAAACAACAGCTCAGAGATGATGTCATGCAGAAGGAAAGATCACGGGGGGAAACAGAGGAGAAGTTTGGGGAGGACAGAGATAGATGAAAAGGCTTGGTTTGTGAACAAACCACATTTAAATGTAAAAGTGAAGGAAGAAAAAGGCCATCTAAAAGTCAAGAGCCTTCTTCCCAGAAGTTAGCAGAATTAATGAAAATCACAGTGAGGACAGCAGGCCACAATCAGTTAGATTATAGTTATATAGTTATATAGATTATAGTATAGATTTTCATGAGTTCTTAGAAAAGTGCAGATCCACCTGGAGAAATTGTGGCCTTACAGCCACTAGCCACTAGCAATATTCGCACCTGGGATAAACCTCATTGGTTTTGATATACAAACACTTATACAAATTCTACAGCATAATAATTATAAATTACTCTCACATAAAGTATAGCATATAGTATAGAAAACCAAGATTACCGGCCGTGGGAATCCATTGAGCTGACCACACAATACCCTATATCCGCAAAAGTTTGCACTAACTTTGCCGACAAGCAGAGGCCACTTGGTCAGTATAGTTCACTTGTGGACTAAAGGCTATGGAGCATGCTGTAGAATTTTGCTGTCTGGTAAAACTAAGGTGTATTATTTTAAGAGGGTATAAAATAATATTAAAGTGGCAGATATTTGTATTGAGTGTGAAATGTTGGAACATTCTACATCAGTCTGAAATACGAGGTAGCAGAAGTAATGTATAGTTGTCCCTGTGCTTGCTTAAGGATTAGTCATTCCCTGAAGACATGTTGTATTCAAGTTATAGCTCCACATATTCTTAACCTCATCATTAGAAGAAAATGGTAGCCTCAGAGTCTGGCCACTTTACCCATGATAAAAGAGCTCATAGGACTCATTTGGTGGGAGGCTGCATGGGTAGGTGGGCCCTAGTCATTTTGGATATGATGATGCAGAGAAGCATCCTTACTTTGCTGGGAATTGAAATGTGGTGATCCAGCCTCCAGTGCCATGAATATAAACTACTACATTGTAACTTATGTTGGAGCATAAGGAATTTTGAAACTGTACATTTAATTCCTTCTGTCTATTGCAGGACGTCGTTATCCTGTTGATATTTACTATACGAAGGCCCCAGAAGCAGATTATATTGATGCGTGTGTGGTATCAGTACTTCAGATCCATGCAACACAACCACTGGGAGATATATTAGTTTTTCTCACTGGTCAAGAAGAAATTGAAACTTGCCAAGAGCTGCTGCAGGAACGGTCTCGCCGTCTTGGTTCTAAGATAAGGGAGCTGCTCATTCTACCTGTTTACTCCAACTTGCCAAGTGACATGCAGGCTCGTATATTTCAGCCTACTCCACCAAATGCAAGAAAAGTAAGATGTTGAGCATGGTGATTTTGGTATATTACATTTAAATGGTTTACAGAGTGTAAATCCAAATGTTGTTAGGATAATCAAGTGAAGGACAATAAGAGGGGCAGGGGATGTGGCATGCATGTGAGGGATGAGAAGTGGCCGTGGGCTTTTTGTCAGAATCTGAAGGAAAGAGGTCACATGAAATTCTGTGTACAGGTGAGAGGATAGTATCAAAGTATACCATAAAGAAATAGGGTGGGAAAGTGTTAAGTGGATTCATTTGACTCAGAACAGGGTTTAACACTGAGCTCTTGTGAACACTGTTATAAACTTTCAGATCCCATAAAAGGGGCAAATTTCTCAAGTACATGAGTAACCATTGCCTTGGGCCACACCATAGCTCAAGCGGCGGCCTGGGTTCGATCCCAGGTCTGGTCAAGTGGGATTTGTGGTGGACAAAGTGGCACTGGGTCAGGTCTCTTCCGAGTACTTCGGTTTCCCCTGCCAATCTTCATTCCACAATTGCTCCACAATCACCCTCACCTATCATCAGGGGCTGGTACAATAGGCCAGAAGTGGCCGCAGTACAAGGGACTTAGTCCCACCCCACTAGCAATGAAAAAACCATTGCATTCTTAAGAAGAAGTCTGTTCCATGGAGTAAAGGTAAAGTTGGCTCTGTGCTTAACTAATTAAGGACTACGCCATGAAGATGTATAGATATGTGTTTTCTTGACATTGGCACTAGTTGGAGGTGAATGGTCTTGGTACACATTGGAAAAGAGGTTGGCTGGACCCCAGAACTGGTCTGAATGATGCCAAGAAGAGAAATACTGGGACTGACCCCTCTTGTCATCCAGTCCATAGCCAGTCACTCTACCCACTGCGTTATCACAGCTCATCTGTTCCATGGAGTTCTGTGTTTAATTCATTATAATATTATACCGTATTAGAGGGAAGATTACTTGTAGAATCATTCGTTACCATCACCATCAATGTAGTCATCAACATCATCTACTTGTCTTTATATGTTTTGGATCTCTTTCAGGTGGTACTAGCGACAAACATTGCAGAGACATCCCTAACTATTGATAACATCATTTATGTAATAGATCCAGGATTTTGTAAACAAAATAATTTCAATTCACGTACAGGCATGGAGTCACTTATAGTTGTGCCCATCTCAAAGGTAAATTTGGTTTACAGATAATGATGTTTCATATTGTGTTCAAAATACAGTAGGCAAGAAATTCAAAATATAGTGTACTAATTTGATAGTGTACAGAGTCTTAAAACAGTTAATATGAAAAGAGGCTTTTCATGCAACTCTTAGTCATCACTGAAATCATTTGGCAAGTTTTTTACTGATACAGTTGCACCTCTCGAGCAGAAGTTGTAGAGAAATTTTGTGCCCAGTACAAATTTTCCTTGAGTTTTACAGTTTTCATGATAATTAACCTTTATTGTATGTGCACTGCAAAGATATTGCTGTTTTCATTATTGATTGTATATTTAGGTTTATATTGTGAACTTTATCGTTGTGTCTGGTGTTTTCATTTTGTTGTTAATATGTGGTTTAATTTAATTTGAGATTGTGATAAAAAGAAAAAAGATGAAATTATTCCAATACTTAATTGTATAATTAAGCACCATACCATGAAGGCATATGGGGGAGTGGAGGTATGTAAGAGTACAGCTCCACCATCCCTGACATGGGCATTCTGTGGCAGTGAGTGGTCAGTTTCATTTTGCTGCCTCTTTACCCCAGGAATAGAGCCCCTGGTACCCTTTGGACAGGAGGGTGGGTGGGTCTCAGAGCCACTCTAGATTCAGTCGAGAAGAGAAAAAGATCTTGCCCCTTTGGGGAATCATATCCAAATTATCCAGCCCATAGCCTGATCCGAATGCCAAGTGAGCTGTCGCTGCTCCTTAGAGCTGTAAGTATGTATTTATGGATCAAACACTAAAATGCCAACATATACAAACAGCGCTAGCTGAGGTGGGTTTGTCTTACGGTCATTTGTAGTGCAGTAGATGCTCTGATTAAATCAGAATGCCACAGAGAAGTTGGTAGCAGTTGTTCTCCATATTCTGGGGGCCCACGTTCAAATCTTGGCTTTGAGATCATCTATCCTGGGTGATGATTGTTAATAGTTTTCCTTAATCTGAACCAGGCAGCTGGCAGGACAATAATACCACAAATTAGCCCATGTCTGTTTCTTTCCACATCATTTCCCATTCACTGTCCACTAATCATCCTATCATTCTACATTATGTAGCAGATGTGGCCAAACTGTAGTTTGCAGACTGCATATGGCTCTTTTGAACCATAACTTTGGCTTGTGGAAACGATTTTAGTCAGTCCTTTTTTGCAATCCAGTCTACATTTGTTTGCAGCTAAGTTCAGTGAGTTTGCTCACTCCCACTATATAGTGTGAGCTACTGAAAACATGATTAAGTAAACCTTAAAACAGACCAGTAATACTAACAATTATAAAAATATAGAACCACAACTTTGCCTTTAAGCTGTGGAAAGCAGTGACATGATTGTTGTATTGCACGTTCATTTGTTGATGGATTGAATGATAAATCATGGTAACATTTTGACTTCCAGGCCTCTGCAAATCAACGAGCAGGGCGTGCAGGCCGTGTTGCAGCCGGCAAGTGTTTCCGTCTGTATACAGCCTGGGCATACAAGCATGAATTAGAAGATAACACAGTACCAGAGATTCAGCGTATTAATTTGGGCAATGCTGTATTGACATTGAAGGCTTTAGGAATTGATGACCTTGTACATTTTGACTTTTTGGATCCTCCACCTCATGAGACACTGGTGAGAAAACTGATTTATTAGGAGGTTGGTGAGAATGGGATGTGGAAGATGTATACATCCTTAGAGTTATAATTTTCTTTGCTGTATGTTAGTTTGAGGGAAACTGACCGGAATAATATTTCTGGTCTAACCTATGATGTAAGTCTCAGGAAGGTAAACTGTTACTCTGCTTATGACGTATACTATACTGAGGCAACTTGGGTAGGTCTCATGTTTGGCGGAGATGACGCTGCTTGAAGCATCCCAATATCTTCCTGCTGTTCAGTTCCTCTCCATGTCCACAGCTGCTTGTTTTGTCTTTCTTCTTTTGTGTGAGTACTTTACAGCAGTCAGTAACTTGACTGTATAGCATGGAATGGTAGGATGACTGGTGAATGATGAATTGGAAAGGATCTGAGGTACTGTCTCAACATGTGTGGGAGGACTGAAGAAAACCATGAAAAACCTGTCAGGGTAGGTGGTATCGTGGGCAAGATTTCAACTGAGCTCCTTGTGAATACAGTCTACAGCATTAGCAATGTGCAAACCCATTCAGTTCCAATACACTTGTCATTAGTGAAGTTATCCCTTCCAACTTTGCAGTGAACAAAATGGCTAGAAGACTGGAGGTGAGTATATGAAGTATGCTGCTGGGGGGTGAAGCCTAACAGCTCAAGGGAGATGTGGAGGGTGCTCAAGCTATAGGACTTCTTTCTTTTCTTGGCCTAAGTATAATAACGTTATCTTCCAGTACTTACCATCTGAATAGGAAGAAAATAATCATTTCCTGGCTTTGCACAGTGTTCCAGGAAAGACTCTAAATAAGGCTGCCATCAACTGAAGGCAAGATATTACTTTATGATTTTACAGAGTAAGCACTTGAACAGCAGCTTGTGTTATATACCCCTTATACACAGTATTACAGAAGTAGAGCTCAGACCCTGATGAAGACCAAGTAAATCATTTCCAGTTTCTGTGTTGAGATTGTAGGAACGTTATAATATTGACATACAAAACTCTGTGAACACTGGATGATATAAAATATTAGGGTTTGAATATGCATCTTTAACATGACTCTGATATAAAAATAATTTTTAATCTTTATTGTTTGGGAGGAAGGGATTTCAAATCTCCCGGCAAGTAGCCATATTTTAGAAGGGGTAATGATATTTGTGAACAAACAATGCACCGCTCAGCTAGCTGGATTGCATGCATCTCTGCAGTAATGTAGCATTCAGCTTGTACCGGTCAGTCTGGCAGAAGGGAACATGAATTATAATGTATACCACATACTGTGTAGTGTGTTATTTTCCACAAAATGTTTTCTTTTATGGCAGGTATTGGCATTAGAGCAGTTATATGCACTTGGGGCACTCAACCATCATGGAGAACTAACAAAACTGGGCCGTCGAATGGCTGAATTTCCCGTTGATCCCATGATGGCAAAAATGATCCTTGCATCAGAAAAGTAAGTTACGTGATATGCCAGTATGCAGTTAACAGAGATCTGATTCATATTTTGCACTTATTTTCGCTATAAACACTTAAACATATTAGTATGTACAGATTGATATATTTAAAATTGCATCCAAATAGGAAACATATTTTATATCTCATTGAACATAAATTAATTAAGTATATAAAAGATGTTGGGGCATGCAGTAGCATAGTTGGTTAAGGTGCTGTGCTACAAGCTGGAAGGTCATAGGGTCAAGTCCCGATGGGGTCAATGGATTTTTTTCAATTGACCGAATCCTTCCAGCTGCACTATGCCCTTGGGGTCAGCTGAGCCTCTGACAGAAATGAGTACCAGGAGTATTCTTGAAATATTCCTGGGGGTAAAGGGCAGCTGGCGCATAGGGCTGACAACCTTGCCACCATCTATGGGCTGATTGTCTAGAAAATGTGGGAACCTCAACATCTGACTGTCCTGTGGACCTCCACAGCCTCTTACAGGGATACCTTTACTTATATAAAACATGCTGGAAGTATCCTTCATTGTCAGAAATACATTCATTCTTCTTGACCATGTTTCAGTTGTACACTGAGGTACAAAATACAATGTATTCTCTTAGGGCACAATTGTAAATGGATCACTCTGTATGTATAATTCCCCCATACCCGTAGCATGACACTGATCAGAAATACTTTTCTTGCTTTTATAATTTCCCTGAAAGTCTGTACTGTTTCCTGACTGAGCTAGAACAGATAAAAACATTTCAGTTAGCTGTATCCTTTGATTGCAGGTATAAGTGCTCAGAAGAGATTCTGACTATTGCTGCAATGCTTTCTGTAAATGGTGCCATTTTCTACAGACCCAAGGACAAGACAGTCCATGCTGATGCTGCACGACATAGCTTCTTTACACCAGGTGGTGATCATCTCATGCTGCTGAATATTTACACACAGTGGGCTGATTCTGACTTCTCCACACAGTGGTGTTATGAGAATTTCTTACAGCATCGCTCTCTGAAACGTGCACGTGACGTACGTGATCAGTTGGCGGGGCTCATGGCACGTGTTGAGATAGATCTGGTTTCAGCAGCAGGTGACACTGTTGGAATCAGGAAGGTAACCTACAGTGACATCTAATAATACATATAGATAGGACCGTCATATTTCTGCATTCAGTCATTCAGTTTCATTAGTCTCAGTCTGGAGTGAGCAGCGAATCTGAGTACTCTTTGTAGTAAAATGTAAGCACAGTGTAACAGTTTTGGTGCATTTTCTCCTTTTTATTCCGTTCTCTTGAAAAATGTAAGTTAAGAAAAAGCATAATTGGTATGAAATATGTACCATTTTTCTCTACAGCTTTTGTTCAGAATGTTCTTGTTCTCCAAAATTTGTAGTGGTTACACTGAAGATCTGTGGAGAACTGTATGTAGGCTTTCATGTAAGGTGTCCATTGCCGCTGCCTGATTTTAACCAAAATTGGAATGTCAACAAATTTTAGTAAAGCTCCTCAGTATGTAATGTCATGAAAATCAGTTCAGCAGTTCTGCAACAAGTTCCTGCATTTATCCACATGACAGAGAGATTGAGATGACAAAGCAAACAATAACACCGTGAACATGCCTAGAGGTTCAGATTTTGTGGTTTGTAACTTATTCTATGAAATACAGCGCAGTCCGAATATAATTTGATTTTATATTAGAAATCACTCTCACTTATGGAGCTGAGCCCTTCTTGAGAAGCCGCTAGTTGTGCAGCTACTCAAGAACTTCCCAGCATTTTATGGACCCCAAAGGTTCATTACCGTGTTCACAAGAGCCCTCCTCTGGTCCCTATCCTGAGCCAGATTAATCAAGCCATACCATCCCATCATATCTCTCTAAGATCCATTTTAATATTGTCCACTCACCTGTGTCTTGGTCTTCCCAGTTGTCTTCTTCCCTCTGGCTTTCCACCAACATCCCATATGCATCCCCCTTCTCCCCCATTTGTGCTTATATTAGAAATACCTGCTCACAATATCCTTACATTTCAAATGTGTATTTATAAGATACATATGAAAGCTTACAACCTTATCAGAATGATGATTTTCATTTCTGTATGCAGAAAATGCTATACAAGCCAAACATGCATTGTAGCTTTCTTCATTTGTATAGTTGGTGACTGATTTTGCATTGCAAATGTGACTTACAAGTAGGCATGGATAAGACCAAGACAGGAACTTGGAAAAATTTTGAGAACTGAAAATGAGAGTTTTCTCTAGAAGACAGTTTTCTTCACAATAGTCACAGTAACAATAGTCATTTTTTCACAGAACACTAAAATGTACTGCTTATCCCTTTGTATTAAGAAAGTCAGATCTGAGGTCATGACCTTTTTCACTGTCAGCAGAAAAATGGAGGGAACAAGGCAGTTTTAAATTTGCAAGGTGATTCTTTGTAGCACTGCTGAATGTTATGATTCTGTTGGATTGGGTAGTTTGTGTGCTAATGCACAAGGCAGAAGTAGTTATCTCAACATTTTCAAAGTCTGAGTCTGAATAGTCGGTGTTCAAATTCATATTCTTTTCTTGTTTTTTTTTGCCAAATGCTCCCATCTTCCTTTGGGCTGCACATTCCTTCTCTGATTGGCTACTCATGTCTTCCATGACAATTTTCCTTGCATCTTCTTATCATCAGTCACATTCCTAACTTGGCTTACTTATGCTTGGAAGATGGGGGCATTGGGTTCCTCAAAGAATTTGTACCCACAGAATGTCATAACCAGAAGGTCAGTATAGTCTAGCAAATACTTTGACTTTCTCTTTTGTTATTAAATATACAATCCTGTGTCTTACCTGTACAGGCAATCACAGCTGGATATTTCTACCATGTGGCTAGACTGTCTAAAGGAGGCCAATATAAAACAGTCAAACATCAGCAAACAGTGATGATACATCCAAACAGTAGTATGTTTGAAGATTTGCCTCGCTGGGTGATATATCATGAACTTATGTTTACAACCAAGGAATTCTTGCGTCAGGTAAGATCATCTGCCGTGAAGATCCATATTGTAGTAAAATGTAGAAATTTAAATGCAATGGGAATGTGCAGTACCAACATTTAAAGAGGAAAAATTGCATTAGAATTATTTAATCTATATCAGAATATAAGCATATAGGGAACCATGTCACTGGCAATAAAGGAATAACAAAATTGAGTTGTTTTTCATCAAAGTAAATGGCATTAGTATGAGAAATTTTGGTAAACAAATATTAGTAAAAAAAATTTAGTATACCAACATCATGGAAAAATTAATTATGAAATATGTTAATGAGGCCTGGGTATTAAGAAGAGGAGCGCTGAAAGACGGGAGGCAGGCAAGTCAGATACAGTACCAAATCAGGAACTGGAATTCACCCACTGGGGTCAAGGTATCCCAGTTAGACCCCAACTGCAGTTAATCCTAATCCTGCAAAACTCTTTACAGTGGAAGTGAAAAATTAATTTTATTTACAAATTTTCACAGTGAAGAGGCATCAGCTTATATCTGAGGTTATCTTATGGTCGAATAAGTACGGTATTTGAGTTTTATGGATAAGAATTTGTTACGATGGTTTCGCAGTGACAAACTGTAGAGCAACTCTTTAACACCATTAAAATATTGGTTGTCATGGCCATAGTTTCTGGTTATGTGAAGGTCAGTCTTAACATCTTCAGCAGTAAAGCTACAAAGAGTATTTTGATCTGATTTCAGGTGACTGAAATTGAAAGTAAATGGCTCCTTGAAGTCGCACCTCATTACTACAAACCTCGTGAGCTTGAAGATTCAACAAATAAAAAGATGCCAAAGATGACAGGAAAGTCAAGAGCAGAACTGGGAATTAATTAGTTATCAGTGTTCACAGGTGCGACATAAAATATAAGACTACAAATAAAAAACGGTATTATTATTGTATCTAGAATCTGTAATTATTCTTTTTAATATATCACAAACTTAACATATTATAAAGAGCCCAAAACAAACAGAAGACAACAAAATAGAAGTTGTAATGTCCTGTTCAGTTTGTTCAGGTAGGCAGCAAGTATAGGGTCGGTTTGCTGCCTACTTCAAGCTGGTTTCTTGCTTGCCATACTCTTATACCCTGAAGATGGAGGTGATAGGTTGCTTTTAGAAGGAGACAAGAAAAAATAACACAACACAGGAAAAGGAAATAAATGTGTCCTTTCAAGCATACTTTCCTTATTTTGAAAACATGAAAGTAGGTTTCCTGATTCAGGAGGGAATTAAGAGGAGATTGAACCCGGGTAATGCTTGCTACCATTCAGTGCAGAACCTTTTGCTTTTTTATCTGCTGTCCAAAAACATAAAAATTAAAATATACAAAACTATAATTTTGCCTGTTGTTCTGTATGGGTGTGAAACTTGGTCTCTGACATTAAGGGAGGAACATAGACTGAGGGTGTTTGAGAACACAGTGTTGAGGAGAAAATTTGGACCAAAGAGAGATGAAGTGACAGGAGGTTGGAGAAAACTGCATAATGAGGCACTTCATTGCTTATACTTTTCTCCAAGTATAATTAGAATGATCAAGTCAAGGAGGATGAGGTGGGCAGGGCATGTAGCATGAAGGGGTTAGACAAAAAATGAATATAAGATATTGGTGGGAAAGCCAAAGGGAAAGAGACCACTGGGAGGACAAAGGCATAGGTGGGTGAACAATATTAAAATGGATGTTAGTGAGATAGGGTGGGATGTTATGGATTGGATTTATCTGGCCCAGGATAGAGAACAATGGAGGGCTCTTGTGAACACAGTAATGTACCTTCGGGTTCAATAAAATCCCGAGTTACATGCACCATCGTCAGTACCATTTAGAATCTTCCAGACTGAAGGATTTTGAGAACGGTGCTAAGATGAATATTTGGAGTGCTGAAGAGGAAGTAACAAGGGGATGAGAAAACACTGTACAGGATGATGGGAATTCCCATAATTTGTACTATGCAAGAAATGTTGCTAGGATGATTACATCAAGGAGGAGCTGATGGGTTGGACATACAGCAGTCTCAGAATTGGCAGGGCTCAGCTTCTTATCTAACTAGATTTTTGTTAAGTCGACAGTCAAAAGAAATACCTAAGCAGTTGAGAAGACTTCAGGTTTGCACAAATATTCCTTGCAAGGATATGTTACACGTTATAAATGCTCAAAGAAGATAAACGCTTTAGTGATGACACTGAAATTGATGTATTAAATGCTTTATAATATAATCCTTAGACACACACATGTTATTACAGACTACTGTTAATAGGAAAAGCATGAGACTTTGGTTATAAATTTATTACATACATTAAACGTTCACACGCTCAGCACAAACAGAGAAACCTATGATGTAAAAATAATGTGACCCAGTTGCAGGGGATTCTGATTCAGTGCAATATATTGTCCTGTGGGGCAGTGCCAACTGAATATAGGCTCTGCATCACTTGGGTTAAGAGATTGTGACGTGGTGCTGGAACATTACACAATTATTCCTTTCTGCTTGAAGGGGGCTTGCACCAAGTTCACTTCAGTAGGGTCTCTGGGTCTGCAGACAGGACGCAAGAGCTGCAGCCACCGTGGCAGGACATCTCCTTCTGTTCTCACTTGCTGCATTTGTTTACTCTGTATCAGTGTTGTTTCTTGGAATTTATTCTTTGAATTGCAACACCGAATCATGTATGCAGCTCTTGCTCTCTTGGTAAGATAGGAGCTGAAATTGCAGTGGTTTTCTGGAACAATTTCTATCACCAGCAGCCGACAACACTCATCCATAATGAGGAAACTCCACCTCAGCACACATGACAGACTGCAGTATCACATTGCTTCTAGTTCCTCATGGAAGTCGCATGAGATTCCCTCCATAAATTTCTAGGTGTTGTTAATCCACTTTGTCTTCAGCCAAGAAGTTGGGAGGCAAGATTACTTCACTTGGAACACCCGTGCTTGCATTCCAGAGTTTGTGAAACAGTTTGCAGACAGAGTATATGCAGAAGCTGTCTCTTCCTGCATTCATATGCAGACCAGGGCGTTCATTCAGTTACCACAAAATGCTTTCAACAGCTTCGATGTCTCCTGGTCACATATACAGAAGGGGCAGATTTGTTTTGTCTCCGTCCCCTCCTATTAGTAATAATCTGATGTTGCTAAGGGGCGGGGTTGAATGCAACATTTTGCTTAAAGTGTAATAAATTTAAGAAACTGAAGTTCTGTTTTTCTAATTTTCACACTACGTTCAGAAATGTATATTGATCCACATTGCTTTAAAATTATTTTTTGTCACATTAAGCCTATAAAATCAGGAATGATAATATCATATTACCTTAGAAGTTCAGGTGGGTGTTAGTCGTGAAAACATTGCACACAGTGCCCCACGTCACATGCGTCACACCAGTACATGGTTTCTGATACACAGCATGCTGTTTCTGTGGTTTTGATGCCTTCACAGTTTGTGGAATCATATAAAATTTCTTTCTCTTAGATGGGGCACTGTTTTGTCTGACGAATGTTGACTTGGCACTTTGTGTTCTACAGCATTAGCATATTTCACACAGAGTTCCTCAATTAACTGAATTCTGACTGACAATTGACCTATTCTTTTCATTGTGTTATTCCTACATATTACCATTGGATTCTGAAAATTTCTTTTTGTCCCTGATAGTTTTGTATATTCTCCCAATGGATGTTTGTGCTTTCCTCAATTCTGTGGTAAAGGACAGAATTGAGAAAAGCACAAACATCCATTATCACTATCTAATTCTGAATTTGATAAAAGTTTGTTCTGATTCGGTTTGAAGTAAATATATTCTCAATTGGTCATGACCGCCATGACACAACACAGCTGGCAATGCTGCAACCTTGTACCTTGCAGCTGGCCTTGGGTAACCAGGCTGCATAAGTCACCATCATGTCCCCAGGGCGCCCAAGGCAAAGGTAGCTTTGTTTGGTAACAAGTGCACCAAATTTTGATATGGTAAACTTTTTCAAAGAATTCAAATGTATTAGAGCTCCTGCATGAAGTTCAAAGTGGGGCAACGAATATACGAAATGATATATACATAAATACTTTACATGAAAAACAACAGTTCAAAATGAGCTGAAACTTAGAGCTGCACTACTCGTGGCAAGTGCGGGCTTCGCGGACATGTGACAGAAGCCGCTGGCGTTCTCTGTACTGACTGCGGCAATGAAGGGTTAAGGTAAAGTTATTTTGTATAGATTCTTAAGGTAAAGCTGTTTGTGGAGTAGCCACAATTGCTTGGTCAGTATAGTGACGAGATATGGGCTGGATGGCCAGGGTTCGATTCCCAGCAGGGCAAGATTTTTCTCTACTCCACTGAGTACAGACTGGCTCTGGGGCCCACCCAGCCTTCTATCCAATAGATATGGGGGGCTATTTCTCGGGGGGGCGGGCTAAAGCGTCCGGGGCATGAAGCTGACCACTGACTTTCAAGTACCAAGGCCAAGAATGCTGGAGCTATACCTCTTCATGGCATGGTGCTTAATTAATTGAGCAGAGAGAAAACTCTACCTTTTTAAAATTGTTTTTGTATCTTCTTTCCTTAGATTGATGTGTCACTGAATATCATGGTCAAGAGGATAGAACTCCTCCATCATATTCATGAGGTCCTGGTTTGGAATCTTCGGCCAGTGACTTGACTATTCTCAGTGAGGGTTTTCCTCAGTCCCTAAAGATGGAATTGAGATAGGTCCATGGTTGCTTCTTTCCACATTCTTTCCAATTTATTATTCTTTAATCATCATATTATCTGACACTGTATATAGTTTGGAATACTGACAGTATTGTTTAGCAGACCATTAATAAATGAATCTATGTCATTACTTTGTGTTTTGAATATGAATAGCTACCACTTGATGCCAAAGTATGACAGTGAAAACTGAGGTAATATATGTAACCCTATGCTGCACCATTTGGTTTCAGAGCACTGTGATGTTATTGAACCAGATATTTTAAGTGCATATACAAATGATGCAGTGTCGATATTTAATTTCATTACATTCTTTATTGGGGGCACACAATAGTGTAGTTGGTTGGGGCATCATGCTACAAGCCAGGAGGTTGCATGTTCGATTTCCGATGAGGTCATTGGATTTTTCGGTTGACCTAATCCTTCTAGTCTCACTGTGTCCCTGAGGTGGGGTTAGTCTGAAACATAAATGAGTACCAGGAATCTTCCTGGAGGTAAAGGGTGGCTGGTGTGTAAGACTAACAACCTCACTGCCATCTGTGAGCCAATTGTCCAGAAAATGTTAGAATCTTGACATCTCACAACCCTATGAACCTTCATGGCCTGTTACAGGGATAGTTTTGACATGTCAGATATTAATTACATGACCTTGAGATTTTAGGTTCCCATGACGGTGAGTATTACGATTCATGGCCTTCCAAGATGGGACACCATGGAGTCTGGTACATAGGTGCAAATGTTTTAGAGAGTTTCTGGTTCTATCCTCAAGGAGAACAGACCTGAAGATGGAGGCAGTAGGTTGAACCGATGCTACTCCGATCTTCACCCTACCACCTACAACTATCGTGAAGTTGGGAGCGGTTGATCGTCACAGGCTCTTGTGTCGTGTTTACAATACTCCCTAAGGTCGTCGCAAGGAATCAAAGCTCGCAGCGGAGGGCCTCACTGAATTAATGACCTACCAAATAACAATACCAAGATTTAATAAACACGAAACACAATATAACTCACTACAAGAATATACAAAATATACAACCCAATCGACATGGCTGAGTTGCCCTGGGCTGATCCGCACTTCATGGCATCAAACCCAGCGACATGCCCAGTTCCACTGGCCCACCGACATTTTGTACGGAAGTCACTTCCTGATCCGCCACAGGCAGCACCAAAGAAAAAAATATATACAGGATGTCCCAGGAGGAATGTGCCAGACTTCAGGAGGGTGTTCCTTATGTTAAACTATGCCGATAAAACCCA